TCTTGTAAACATTTCCTTAATTTTGATTGTACTATTTCCCACAGTGTCAACGTCATCTGCATAGGCTAGTATCATTCTCGGGCCTTGGTCTGAGAACACTTCCAGTTTTATTAGTAGTGGCGATAGTCCGTCGTCTTGTTTTAAGCCACCTAGTAAATACTTAGGGAAATATGGGGAAATATTGAGAAATATATAGTGACATACAGAAACATTGGAAACATCTGAGAATAACATTAGATTTTCATTTCAAATTTTGCTCAAACAAGCAGAAATTTAAAACCCGAATAATATAATACATATCCATTTTCGGGTAAATTGGTAAAAATAAAAAAACTCATATTTTTTATAACAAATATTTGAAAATTAATTCATTTATAAAAATGTCGACAAATTTTATTGGAAAATGTTTCAGTTTACTGCAAATATGCCAATATTCAGAAAAGTCGTTTTTTGGTAAACTCTAAACCCAAAATTAATATGGTTTCGCTGTTTTCAAACTAAATAAACAAAATAAAGTTGATTTTATCGCAGATCAGAGAGACAATTGGCTCAAAACCGATAATGAAATATATTTAAATTTTATATATTGTCTATATATTCCCATAAGAAAATATTTATTCAATTTTTGGGAGACGGTTTACCATTTGTTTCGATATTATGTCACATTATAATCGCGAAAGCTTTCACAAATCGATAGTGATTATACGATATTTTACCAAGTGATTTTTTTTTATCTCTGTGAATTAATTCAAACATACACTAAGTACACTTGATATACCATTTGAATAAATAATGCAATAACAATACAATATATATATATATATATATATATATATATATATATATATATATATATATATATATATATATATATATATATATATATATATATATATGAAGGTACTGCCAAGTTTCTACAGTTTTCTGTTTCCACCAAAAAGCGTCAGAATTTTCTCGAATTCCACTTGTAATGTAGGTAATGTACGCAATGTGTTTCGTGAATAAAATGCTGGCAAAAAATGTAAATTTTTCATGTGTTTTATTTTGCTGCACGATTGTAACACAAAAATTATATTTTAATGCCGTTTATGCATTATCTCCTTAATAAATTATATTAGCATGTAATTAATACATATCGTTTGTACAGTATTATAATACTAAAAAAATTATATATATATATATATATATATATATATATATATATATATATATATATATATATATATATATATATATATATATATATATATATATATATATATATTATTAAGTAAACAAATTAAATTAATGAAAATACATATTCGAACACGGAGCGCGAGCATTGAAGATGCCAAGTGAGATTTTGGCGAAACGTCTGCAGGATTCCAGTCGGATGCAGGATTCCAGTCGGAGTTCAACGAGCGAACGGATGATATCCCGGAATATAGTGTCATATATATATGTATATATATATATATATATATATATATATATATATATATATATATATATATATATATATATATATATATATATATATATATATATATATATATATATATATATATATATATATAATATATATATAAGTAAACAAATTAAATTAATGAAAATACGATATTTGCACATTTAGGCCTCTAGATCTTGCATATTGTTGCATATATTATTTATGATATGATAAATGGAGAATCAAGCCTTGAAATAATTTTTTTTAAGGATTATTCTATTTTCTTTGTATTTCTTTTATTATTCCGTTAACACTTGCAAAAAAATGTGTTTAGCTAGTTAGTAATACAGATTGAAATTGAGATTCTAAATTAATAATTGTTTTATAACTTTAGGCTGCATTTAAAGTTATTTTAGTCAACAAACATTTTATTTTAAGCGACACCCCTTTGCTTGCTTTGCTCCTTTGTCAGAATATTCCATATTCTGATAAAGGAGATTTTCGTATTGATAAACACCTCACCATAAGAAAAGAACAAATAAGTCACTTTAATATGTCGACTTCATTAATCCTAAAAAAAGTACGAAATGCAACATGTTGCTAAACTCCTTCAGCCGAGGCGCTCGTTTATTGTCGTTCTGCTCAAGAAAAACCTAACTTATTGTAATTTTCGGATGGTCTGTAGAATAAAGTTTGGTATGAAAAACAATATTTCCTTGGTATTTCCCGCTACAAAGGTAACGGTCACAGAATAAACACACAAAAAATGCTTTGATATGGTACAAATAAAAAGACAAGAGTGAAAAGTAGGATTTTTTTTATTGCTATTGGCCAAGAATGCCAGCATCATTCGGCCAAAAGGTAGAGTTACGCAGAGTGTTTCGACACGTTCGCATAACATTTAACAAATCTAATTCGATAATAGAATTTAATGTGATACACGGATTCCATTAACCGTTCAAGACTTGAACTGGATGTCTGGTGAACCTGTGGTGTTACGTAACCCTCTGCAAACAGTAAACACGAGCTATATAATAGCCAAGCAAACAATTTCTAAGTCCTGCCCTTGTTTGGCGTTGTGGGCGAAGGGTGCCCCCCCTTATTGCATCGTAAAATTCGTAAATATCGCCTTACACGACGAAGTCATGATTACGTCGTGCTTATATAAGGTGGATCATAAAACCGTATATCACAGATAAAGTTGCTTGGATTTTTCAGTGGACTCGGTGTAACGTAGGCGCTTGTTTAAAGGGAAGAAAGCTTACCAAAGAAACGTATGTAACCTCAGTATCTAATCGTATAAAAGAATAGATTGAAAATTTCATAGAAAAAACTGAACATACAACATTCTACTTCAGATTCGTGTTTTTTACATGGTGCGCGAGGTGCTTATCAAAATCCAGGATATGTTCATTCCGGAAGAAAAACATTTTCTTTTATTTAAACTATGGCAAAAGATCGATTCAATCGAAATTTCCAACGATTATAAATACGCATTTTATACGGGGCGCGTTAAAAAAATTAACTTCATCCACTTGTACAAGAGTTTATCACTAGGGATAGAACAATATCGATTGATAGCGACATATAGGCACATCGGCAGTTGTTGCAATTTCTTTTCTTTTCATTACATAAATGAAACTCTTTATAAAAGAATTAAAAAATATTTAACGAGTAATATTTTTACTCAAACTCTGAAACAGGTCCTAACACGCAATATAGTTTGTTGAAAATATATTCTTGCTATTTTGTTGTAAACGGCTTAAAAGAATATTATTGTATTCTTCTGAAGATATAGATAGTGTCCATTGCCTTTTTATTACATTTTTTACACAACGTTTAATTTGCTCTTTAATATCTTTTTTGATAAACTAGCGAAATACAGATTTTTTCGTTGGAATACATCGCCAAGTCGTCTTCTACATTCTGCCTTAATTGCATCAACACTAGCAAAGTTTGGTCATTCTTTGGATGTGATAAATATTCTCTTAAAATTACGACAAATGGAACCACTGTTCCTTACTTCACTAACGCATCGAGATATCGATATTGGACGATAAATTGTCTGGGAAGAAAAGTGATATTGTTCCATCACTAGTTCAGTCGATGACGCAGTAAAAATATAGCAGAAGAAAATCTACCGATTAGATTTTCTCCAGTTAGTTCAGCAACGGCAATCACATAATTCGTATATACTCGCGTAGCACCAGAACACTTTCATTTGTTTAACGACCTCCAATTTGCTGTCCCAGTTCTAAAAGATAATTTTATTACAATGCGAAAATATGTAACATAATGGTTTAATATCGTGCCAATTAGGTCGAAATAAAAGTCCATATGGCTGTGCGGCTGGTATCAGATAACATCTGACGGCGTGGTGTTTTTTTTAGCCGATAGTGCGCTCACGTTACATATTGAATTCTTGTGCGGACTGAACATGACTTTTACTTATTTTATTCGAGTCCTAAGGTTGGGGTAACGTAACGACTCGAAATTATTCTGTTCTAATAGACGCGCAGCGTATCTAAGCTCGTTGCGATGGGAAACGAAATGAAATTGGACGAAATAATAATGTCTTACGACAGTTTGACTAAAATTTGGACGATCAGTGCCAAACTAAAGGCAACCAAAGAAGCACCTAACTACAAATTACGCATGAAATTGAGTTTTCCCATTTATAGTGATGCCATCGTGTATCATTATAAATCAGTTGACTCAGAATGACTGTTGGAATCGTAAAGGCTCAAAAAATGCCGGCAAACGTACAATTTAAAGTTGTCCTGCAAACTTCAAAAATATGAAAAACAACAAAGGGTTTCTTCATATCTCTAGTTTGAACAGTGCAACTTGCTTTCAAACTGAGCTTACAATCTTTGAACTGTTTATCAATTTTATTTGTTGTCTGGGTTACATACTTGATTAATAAGGTCTATAAGACTATTTCTTTAACCCTTTTGAGATCCTGTCTTGCAGTTGGTATGCACGGCTTTGATTCAACTGTATCTCTTATTACCACGTCTACTCAACTCGCATCTACCATGACTACTGGATTCACTTTTCTGGGTGTTGTGGTTTTTGCAGCAAATACATCGCTGTATATATACACACTCGGCATATTCTATGTTTGTTTCTTACCAATTAGCGTTAATCCCTGCATATTCCAGACGGAAATGCAGCCAAGTAGAACTGACCCGCCAATCCTGTGAAGGCTCCCACAGGAAGCTAGCTTTGAAAGGAAGGCGAAATAAGCCAAGTCTAATATCGAGTGGCCTCTATCAAAGAGAGGAGCAGCAATATCACCGATAGAACCACTGGCGATCGGTTAGACATGCAATCGATTCCTGAAGAGCAGCTAGCCAGCATTTCTGGGTTACACTATTATATTACATTATTGATAAAAGCGAATAAACGACACCATTAAATTCATAACACCAACTTGAAAACGCTGATAGGGATGTATACCGGACACTGGAGCCTCAAACACCAAATGCTTGAAATTGTCCACGCCTTCAACGAAGAGTGAAGAGGATGTCTTTGGAGGATGGAGAAACTAACATTTTTGAACAATACAAACCTTTTCTTACTAAAATTAACCCTCCACCAGTCGGAACCCAATGTTTTCGAGCACTTACGTTTCCGAAACTTGCCGTGAACATGTTATATCCATTAATAACACCCCTTTGCGTGCAGTCTCGAGTCACCGTGATGTCACTAATACGCGCACCAACCAATAGAAAAAAATGCCTCCCTTAACCACTCATCATGGCATCCCTGAAGAATTATGGCACCTGAAGAACGTGGTGGACGGTTCGCACACGCGGGTCACAATAAAAAAAAGCAACTGGGAGTTTTGGCCCGGCTTGATTTTTTCTATGGTGTTTGGACGCGGCAACGGCGGCGATTAATACCTTTTGGTTCGCGCGTCTCAACCCCACGGTGTCGCGTTTTAAACTGACTAAGCTGAGGCCACGGCGGCTCTCCGTTCTCCAGTTTCAAGTTGTCGCTGGACAGGTAAGCGAAGACCGACTAGAGATATGCGGCTTGAACCAGCCTGTTTTCCGTGTGTATCGCGCGGTGCGTAAGCGTATTACGTAAGACCCACGGCTTGTGGGGATTCGGCTGTTTCACCAACTTTTTTTAGGGGTAGGTGAAACCTAAATTTTGGCTAAGGGAGGCTTTCGTCGGCCCTAACTCATTATAGTTGATACCTAAATTTAAGCGGTCCATTTGGGCTGCCTAACGCCCATTTTTTTTTCATAAATATATCAGAAAGGATATTTTTACTTGTCAACACCTTAAAATAAAAAAAAAATGGCTTTTTGAGGCTTGGAGAATCAATTTAAAGAACTGCACAATTTTACTTTTTTTTTAACACGCTTACTGTTCTGGGATCTACTTATTCTAGTTTACAATTTGTAAATACTATGCTTTAATATGGCTAATTTATCGAAAGTGTTCATTATTTAATGATCATTTGGGTACACAAGGGAATCTGGAACAATTATCAATTAACGATGTAAATGTAAATGTTTCTTGTATTTTTCTTTTGGAGTTTGTGGTTTTACGCGTAATATTCATTTTTTTCGGCATTGCTTTACTTTTGAGGGACTCCCAGAATTGAATACATGGGTCCGAGATTAAGTATCCACAAAGTATATCAAGTGCTAGTACTGATATATGAAAAATACTATCAGAAACATCTTAATCTATTTAATTGAATAAATTTTGTAACAATTTCTTTCCGTACTTCTCTTTTTCTTCTTCTTAATGTATCTTTGTCATAGCTTTTATAATTCGGGATCCGACCTACAATGAATACACTAAAAATTTACTGACGCAAACACTCTGTATAGGTATAGACAAAAAAAATTGCTCAAATGAAAAAAAAAACATTCTAATTTCAAGATTCCAAATAATAAAATGCAACTCCGTCTTAATTATGTTCTATTTTTAACTTTCCAAAATTTGGTATATGGAAAAGACCTCGATTCGCAATGTTACCGTCATATTTTTCTACCTAGAAGGGAAAGCTGAAAATATGCAAAAAATAGCCTAAACAGGCGTATCATTGTTTTGAGTCGCTGAGGCCTTCCAACTCCAACCTTCTCCTTCCTACCCCATTTCCTAACAAATATAAATATATAAATGGCAACGCAAAGTTGGGAAAACGACCAGGCCTGCCATTTAGTAGGCTTCGGGCGGCCGTTGTTTCAGCTGAGTTCGGCAAGCAGAAGAGTTGACTTGGCGAGCCAAAATTCAATAGTGGCCGCCAGCGAATACAGAACGCCCGTCACCAACTAAGAATGCGTTTTAGTCCGTTTCCCGATGTATCCGCCATGTTCTGTTTCGGTCTTGATCTTATGATACCGGGTCACGTCGAATGGTTATCTCATTTCTTGTCGCTAACAGTCTTCAATAATTGGCTTTAAAGGCAGTGAAGCCAATGTTGAAAATTCAGAGTCTTATTAGTTTTATGTTATTTGAAAAATAATTCCCGCTGTGGTTTGATTTTTTTTTTATTTTTCTAAGACATTTTTCGAAGTTGCACTATGTAGAGTTATACTTGTGTTTCGAAAATATGCGAAACACATGCCACTTGAAATTATTGAAGCTAAAATATGACCTAACGAGACTTCAAAAGTCAAAAGTTTCATTTGGTTGTTGTTTTTCACAAATAATGTTTGTAGACCGGCTGGTTGCAGCGGAAAGTCGATGTGACGGTCGCTCAAAAACATTTTAAATTTATAGCCAACGTTGGTACGTCCGCGCTCGTACTATTCTCAAGAACCTTGAACTCGGACGTTTGTATTCGCGACGGACTAACTGGTCGAAATTGTATACTTTGGTTTGTAGTCTTCGGATCCTGCGAAAATTTTCCTGCGGTATTGCATCACGACGGGAAGGAGTCTCTTCGTTCCCTGCCGATCCAAAGAGAAGCAAAGAAAGACGGTAACATGGAAAATATAGCCACCAATCACAAAGTCACATTCGAAATGCACATGTCAAGAATATAGGGTATTTGACATAAGTCGGGAAGGAGTGACGATGATTTTAATTCCTCTTACTTATTTTGAAGAACAAAGCAAATAAAAATTGGCTTTCAAACCGAGAAAAACGGTATCTTCCCTGAGTGGCGCCATAAGACACTAAATAAACATCAACCATGGAATACTGATTCGAGTTTTTGGTGAGTTATGCTATACTGATGATGCCTTTTCTTTTGTGAAGATCATTTCAATGCAAGTAAACATTATATTGTTAATTATGCGTCATTATTTAGAGATAATACTTAAATTATGAATAATCTATTCGGTATTTTCTATAGGTACCTATGGCATTCCTAATTACGGTTTTTTAAAGGTCATTTATAAATATTGCTGACAAATAAGGTTTGTATGTGATTTGTGAGGCAACCTGACAAAACTTGACTTGTTTACAGTACAAGCAATGCTTCAAATATGGCGAATCAACATATACATATCATCAAACAAATAGATATGCATATATTATACAGTGAGATGCCCGCCGTGACGTGAAGAGGCGCTTTAAGCATCAGCCTCAAAGGATCTTGCTAATATAATGGGTGTTTTTTTGTCATTGTATAGAACTTGAAGTTGGCATTACTGGTCAAGATGGCGACCGATTTAACAGCTGTCAAGTGATATATTCTCAGTTTGGTTTGGCAATTCAACATGAATAGACTCACGCCTGAACAACGCTTGCAAATGGGCCCAAAACGAGATTGCCGTTGTTTCTGATTTTCATAAGCGAATTTTGTTTAGCGATGAAGCGCACTTCTGGTTGAATGGCTACGTCAACAAACAAAACTACCGCATTTGGAGTGAAGCTAATCCTCAAGTGTATGTCGAAACACCGTTACATCCAAAAAAACTGACTGTTTGGTGCGCTTTATGGGCTGGTGGAATCATTGGTCCGTACTTCTTCAAAAACGATGATGGCCAGAACGTTACAGTCAATGGTGATCGATATAGAACTATGATTACTAACTCTTTCATTCCTACATTGCATAACTATGATGTCCAGGAGATGTGGTTTCAACAAAACGGCGCAACATGTCACACAGCTCGTGCCACAATCGATTTATTGAAAGACACGTTTGGTGACCGCCTAATTTCACGTTTTGGACCTTTGAATTGGGCTCCAAGATCTTGTGATTTAACACCGCTAGACTACTTTCTGTGGGACTATGTAAAGTCATTGGTTTATGCGGAAAAGCCACAAACGCTTGACCATTTGGAAGATAACATTCGCCGTGTTATTGCCGATATGCGGGCACAAATGTTGGAAAAAGTCATCGAAAATTGGACCTCCAGAATGGACTACATCTGCGCCAGCCGTGGCGGTCATATGCCAGAAATCATATTTAAAATGTAATGCCACAAGATTTTCTTTCGGATAAATGAAATTTATGTCAATCGAATAATCCTTCGTTGTTTTATTGCAATTTAAAGTTCTATACATCGAAAAAAAAAAACACCCCTTATAATTTAAAATTATAACTGAATAAAGTTGATTTTTGTAAAAGTGCTTTGTTACACGGTTTCGATACTTGGTAACGAAAGGCTTTGACGAATAGGAGGAGTAATTACAAATCTATATCTAAATTATTTAATTACCTACAAAGAAAAAGACAATGTTCAAGGGGTAAACAAGGCATTGATTACACATACTTTTTAAAGAAAATAATGAGCTACGCAATACACGTTTTTGTTTATTTACTTTTACCTATTTTGTGTTTTAAAATATCTCCAAATAATCTCACATACATGGAAGCCTTTGAGAAGAAAGCCCTCGACACTTTCCATCTAACACCAAAATTATGGAAACGCTGCCTTGATGATATATTTCTAATTTGGCGTCATGATCAGGAATCCCCCTTCGAAGTTTTCATAGCCATTTAAACTCTATACAGCCTAACATACGTTTGACCATTGAATTATAAACTAATAGTGATTTCTCATTTCTAGAAATTCTTATTAATAAAACATCAGACCGAACCAGTGGCGGCTCGCGGGACAAATTCCAAACATGATAACATAGTGATTAGGTTATTCCGAATTTCTTTGGTGCTCACTCACAGAATTGCATTTAATTCTAAAGTTTACGAAATATTCAGGGATTCTCGGAAGTTTCGCTCTCATCATGTCCCCGAAGAGACAATTCAAAACCTCGGCAAAATTTGCGACACTCTTTAACACATTTTTATTGTATATTTACCCAAAAGGCAGAATCTAATTAGACCCTAACATTCACGTTTTTCTATTTTCAAACTTAAAGGCTCTAGAACGGCGAAAACAATATAGAACCTTTTTTGTTACATCCACAAATCCATTTTTTGAGTAAATCTCTTTACTAAATTTCCGTGTATAACTTTTCCCTCTTTATACACCAGCTTTTTGCATGATAACATTTGGCAATGGCCCTAGCTTTTGCTTTTAATTAATGAATATTTAAAAAATCTCTTCACAATTATGAAATTAGTTCACAGTGAATATGAATTATCAGAAACACATAAAAAAATAAGCACTCCATTATTATTGTTTCCATTGCAGTTTTTTATTCATTATGACTATGGGAATGCGAAATATTATGAATTTTTTTGTTGATAAAAAAAAATATTTTATTTGTTGTTTTGTAACTTGCCCCTGGACCTAACATTGGGTCATTATGTTTACAGAAAACCTACGCACACAGTCTGACACCTTGGTATTGGTATTGGTATTGGTATTAAAGGGGGGCGCCCTCGCGGGCGTCCAAGCACTTAGGCCACCAGATGGGCCCGTTGTGCCCCCAGGCTGCTCTAGAGGGCGTCCAGAATGCCGCCCCTCCTATAGAAGGTCAGCAACTCCTTTAGCCCAATACCGTGCACTGAGTCCGGATCGATCAAGGCCGTTCCGAATAC